TCCAACATTTTGTTGCTCCTTTTTAATGTCTTCATGTGGGAAGATCTTGAGGATTGGCTTTCTGTGTTTTTATCACATTATTTTAGAATATTAAGACAGTCTTTGGATTTTGCAGTGACACCTGGAAATCAACCTGTAAGTATGTATTTGTTGTTGGCTTTGCATGTTAAAAACCAGGACATTTTTTTCAAGAACATCCTCACTTGCCGGTTGTGTCTCAGGTCGTGGCCTGAGCGCCCCTCGTCTGGGCCCGGCTCTCAGCTCACCACCCCTCCTCCTCCTCCCCTTTGCCTGCCTGCCTTGTGCTTCTCCCTCTCTGCCCACTGGTCTGCGTTTCCGTCCTAGCGCACGCTCTGCTGTCCTGGGTGGGTTTGTGTGGACTTTGTGATATTGCCAAACTAGGGAGCTTATATCAGTTTCCATCATTTCTCTTTATTTATTGTTACACCTCTGGTTACATACATAGGAGGCCCCCCAAAACTCCGTGAGTTAAACTAGTAACATGAGCATGTGAAGGAGGAGATCTGGTAGCTGTGCAATTCATCTTTAAAAAGACAGACTGTCTTCCAAGTCAGAAACAGGAAGAGCAGGACAGCGTGAACACAGAGGGCACCTCCGCAGAAGGAGAGCGGGCCTGAGTGCTGGGAGCACGCGGACTGGGGGAGTCCGGTGCCCTGTACCTTGTGCCCGTGAGTGGCCAGGCCCTCAGGCTGAGCACCAGTGACCATGGCAACCGCGTCTGCATGAGCTTGTTCCTCTTCTGTGCCTCTGCAAGCCTTCGAGGCGTAAGACCTTGCACTTTAGGTCATTTTTTTAGGAAGGGAATGTACTGACGAGTCAACTTGCGTGTCTCTCTGACAGTTGTGACTCATTATGAATTAGTAGATTTGCATCCATCTTCATTTATCCATCTTCTCAGTATAGTAATGGTAATATTTATAGCAGCCGCGCTTACTGACTACCTGGTGAGTTTGTATAGATTGAAGCCACCCCCAGGGAGCTGACTGATTCAGAGGTGCTGGAGTTTCTCTGGAGCCATGAAACAACACCAGAGGTCAGGCCCTGGCCGCAGCGCACTCTGCCGCCACAGCCCAGCCCCTAGCAGGGACCTCCTCCATCCCCAGGAGCCTCGGGGGGATGTTGTCACACAAACACTAAAGTCACGGTTTGTGGAAAAGGTTGTGATTTTAGAAAGGTGTTTTCCCTGTGATCATTCGGTGTACCTCCAAGTTAAGTATAACAGAATATCCTAATCCGGTATTTGTGTGTTCTTGTCCCTCTTGTATTTGTTTAAAATTAAGTGCTCGCCTCCCCAAAATTGTTCCCGTCCTTGGGACCAAGAAACCGTCGTATGTCTTGTTGTTGCTAGTTGGCCTAATTTACATACATACATACATGTATTTACATAATATATACCTTAGAAAGCACTGTCCATTGTCTGCCTTCACTTTGGCTGCCTCTTAGACTTCTTATCGTGCCCTTAGCTTACTCTTCTTACATGCTTGTGCTCTGAGAGTACACACGGTGACTGTTCAAAATCTGTTCTTCTTGTATCATTCTAAGCAGGAAAAGGGAGGGAAAACATTCAGGCATTCTGCAAGCTGCATAACTATAATACCATAGGCAGTAGTGACTGTGACCGCTCCCCTTCTTGGGGGAAGTTGCAGCCACAGGGCCTAGGACGTTCTGATGGAGACTTGGGCGTGGGAACCCCGAGGGAGTGAGCCAGCACTGGTTAGGGGGGAACCGAGCATCACCCGACTCTCATTTCTCCTGAAGCCGAGCGTGACTCTCCTGCCTCAGGATCTCTGGACCCTTCATGCTGTCTGCAGGAATCTGAGACAGTCCTACCTTGAAGGACGAATCCTTGTGTTGTCTCTGGAGTCTGATTATTCCCTATAGTCATCCTTTGTTCGCATCATTCCTGTCCTCTCCCAGTTGTGGTCATATCTTGGCTCAGTGAACTGTAACTTCCTAAGCGTTTTTCCTCTCCACTGGCTTACCCTTTAATGGTCCTGAACACCATGGGAGCTTTTGAAGACCTTTTCTTCAATAATGGCCAGTATTGTTTCTGTACCTTTCCATGGGGTAGTTATTGAGATCTTTGACATGTTATGATCATCTCAAAGTCAGAAAAAGGGCTGTACAGTCTTCAGTGTTCCCTGGACCATGTTGATTCAGGATCTGAGCTGGCAATATCTGAGATTTAATAGCTTCTTACCCCAGTTCTCCCATGAGGCCGAAGTGCTGCTCTGAGCTCATCACCAGTCATGTCCTAGACACCCTGGCCTGGGAAGTGGGACACCCGCCTGCAGCCTGCTAATGTTGAGAAGCAGAACCTCTGCTTTGTGCAGCATTGACCTTACAGTGGGTTGGAGAGGCAAATATTTAAAGTTGTAAATGCTCTAATTTGAAATTTTAGTAGGTCATTTTAGTATACTGATCAGCTGAGTTTGGAAAGGGACTGGCAACATTTAAACCGGAATTTTTAACTGCATCCAGTGCCCATGTACTGACTTCTTTTTTGGAATCAAACCCTTTAACAGACTTGAAACTCAGGCAAGGAAATTTAATGGTTGTAATTTTAAATAAGCATTCATTTACAAGTAAAAAGCATTTTGAATGTTACCATAGTTACCAAATAGCTTTCCTATGGTTCTACAGAAAATGGGCTCCATCCTACAGCGTGATTCTGAGAAGTGTGTCTGGAGGCAGGTATAGTAAAGAGGGCAGTGTAGGTCTCCCGGAGAAGCAGGACACGTTACTGCAAGAGCCTTCTTGCGTGAGTTTTCTGTGATCCTCTGCTTTGCTTGTGAGTGGAGATTTCGTTTTATCTGAAACATACTATTAGCCAACTTAACTGGGTACCAAAGTTATATTCAAACTTTAGAAGTCTACTGCTACAGTTTATATGGGGTGCTGCTATATTTATTCAGGGTTTTAAACTTTTTAAAAAACAAAAAACAGACGTTGCCTGTATTTGTAAATACCAGCTATGTCTCAAAGGAATAAAATCAGGCAAATAAAGATGAGGCCATATTTTTAAATCCAAGGATTCTAGGAGTGGCAGTTTCTTACTGGAAGGAGAATGCATCTATCCCTGTTTTCATGCCTTTGGTCTTAATGATATTTGAACATTAGAGTTTTGATAATAAATTATTTTCTCTGGAGACTGGCAGGCTGCTGACCGGAAGAATCCTTTCAGAACTAATGTGGAAGGATTGAACTGAAAGGGCTCAAGGGGCCGAGTCATAGAGGGTTGGCAGAATGAGCGGTCAGGACAGGAATGCCAGTGAACGCAGGTGGTAGAAAGGGCTGGGGCGAAGAGAAGACCATTTGAGAGAATGGTCTAGAACAGTTGAGTTCACTTGATCCCCAGTCCCGTCTGTTCGCCCATGCCTCTCTCCAGCCCCTGGATCCTTCTCCGTGGTGTTTTTATGAAGCTCTAAGGAAAGTCCTGGCCTTTTAACTGAAACACTTAGTTTCCTATAGGAAAGGAAGTGCTTGTTAGTGAACTTGGAGAAACACATAGAGCACAATTTGAAAAACGATTAAAATTTAATAAGAACATTGAGATAGTCACTCTGCAGTGGAAGAATAACTGTTCCACCTAGGGGGTATAATCGTCACTAAAACAGTCTGAGGATGGACATTTTAGGGAGCGTTTTCAGCTGCAAAGTCTCCATTGCCAGCTTTCACTCTTCAGCTTAGAACATTCTCAGCACTTGCCAGCGTCAGTGATGGGGTGGGGGCGGGGAGGTCAGCAGGGTGGTTCCAGGCGGCTCAGCCCCCACCTAGCAGGAGAGACACCCCTAGTGCCTCTGAAAGCCCATCCAGGTTGGTCCTCTTGGGTCTTTCTCATCCACACATCCTCACATCACGTATGAATACTTTTCCTCCAACCTAAAAACAAACAACAAAAGTTGCCCCATCCTTATGTATTACAGGCCCAGTTGAAGGAATAATTTTGTAGACACAAGGATATTTAGGAACATGTCCTCACAAGAGAACACGATAACCCTGTGAATTTTAAAGCATAGACTTCCTTTTGACAAGTAGTGGTACAGCCCACACTTCATAAATTGTTGTACTCTCTCGGCCTCTGTAGAGTGTATGATGTCCTGAAGAGCAGGTTTAGCAGTGACCCCTTAGAGACTGAAGGTCTGTAAATTACCCGTAGGCTTCCCCTTTCCTAGGCCACGTCTCTGTCAGGCTCTGTGTGTGTCATAGCTGCTTTGGCTCCATTTCCTCTCCTAGTCTTTGCTTTCAGTATCTTCCAGTGTTGTTTTGAGTATATCCTTGTGAACCACTGTGAGTCCATTTTTAGAATAGGGATGTGCCTGAGAAGTTTTATTTTCTGATAAAGAATCTCAACAGCTGGTAGTAGCTTAACACTTAAACAGTAGTATTTTCGGTGGTTTCCATTCCATTTGGTTCCTGCCTGTGCCTCATGGGACATTTAAAGTTGTTAGCAGAAAGTTATGTGGCCATGCAGACAACAAGCATGAATTCAATCCAGCTGATTAATCAGTGTCTATATCTGAAAGAAATGGTGTCCTAATTGATTCCCCTTCTGGGGAGTTTAGCGCTGAGTGGTCCTTGGGGGCCCATCTGCCACGTCTCTGGCTTTTGAAGTCCAGCCTTATAGTCGGAACTGCTGCTGCAGCTTATTTTTCGCTCATTCAAAAGCTGAATATTCTAATGCTATTTCTTACCTGCCTACAGACTTTAAAGATTACTTGGATTAATCTCAAATGGCCATTGTAAAACCACATTCTAAAATTAAGTGACTATTAAGCACAGGCCTAGTGGCTGCCATTACTGAACAGATGCAGCCAACTGGGAGTTCCCTGCGGCAGCGCAGAGGCGAGTGGGGCATCGTACATGCCTGGAGGAGATCCACCGTGCTCCTGCTGATCCATCCTCCTGTGCTGCACAAGATAAACCGTTTAATGTGCTACAGCAGGCAGTAAAATGCTGTGTGTTTTCTGACAATGAAGGTGGACTCGTCAGTGGTGCACTTCACCCCCCTGACCCGGCCCAGGATCGAGCAGCCCTTCAAGCTGGTGGAGAAGGTGGTTCAGAATGCCTTTCAGTTCCGAAGGAAATACTGCCATCGAGGGCTCGGGTGAGAATGTTTTTTCCTACTTGGTAGCACTTTTTACAAACTCTTCGATCACCTTCCAAGATCAAGAACAAATGTTTTTACGATTGTTCAAACTGCCTGTAAATGTTGCTCTTAGTTCAGATCCTGTGATGAACAAACCTTGACAGCCACTGAGGAGAAAGCAAAACGTCTTAACCTCAGATGCCACTGGGAGGTTTTGTTTGGTTTGATCTTAAGTACAAACTAAAGCTGACATCACACAGTTTACAGTGAGCCTGGACTGGGAGGTCATGATCTCACTCAGGACTCAAACCATCTGAACTGTTGTTGCTCTTGACACTTCTGCCACTGCACGTGTGGTATGTTCTCCAACACGAGCAAATTCCCCAGGTCTCTGACCACCACCTGGGTGTCCTGCAGTTTAATTCAAATCTGATAACTCACTGCCTGGCATCAATGCAGCCCCTCAGCCCGGTGCCACCAGGCTGTCCCCACTTCAGACTAGTGGCAAGTCCCAGGTTGCTGCTTATATTTACGACTGGCTGCCTCTAAATTGGCAGTTTCCAGCATCTCGTCCAGCTTCAGCTTCAGTAATTTGCTAGAATGGCTCATACTTTCATGTGTTGATTTTAAAGGCTATAACTCAGGAGCTGCCAAGCTGGAGGAGATGCCCGGGACATGGTTTGGGGGCGGGAGGTTTCTTACTTCTCTGTGTTCACCAACCTCCAGGCTCTCTTAACCCCATTATTTGGGGGTTTATGAAGTTCATTACCTGAGCAGGACTGATTAAAGCATTGGCCACTGACGATTGAGCTCAGTTTTCCAGCTCTCCTGTCCTCAGACGTGCAGTGGTAGGTGCATCCTTCAGTCACATAACTGAGTCCCCTAGCCTGATGCTTTCCAGGGGCCACCAAGAATCACCTCATTAGCACAGAACTCGGGTATGGTCGAAAGGGGCTTGTTATGAATGACAAACGATGCTCCTATCACCCCTTACTCAGGAAATTCCAAAGATTTTAGAAGCTCTGTCTCAGGAACCTGGACAGAAACCAAATATGTGTATTTCCTATCACACACTGTCTAAGTGTATGGGTTTTTTAATGCCCTCTTTTCATCAGGTTACTATATCTTGAAGATTTAAGGACATATTTAAAATTAGGAAGCAAAGATAACTTCTGAGTAGCCAGAACAATGTCTGGAGTATCCTTGTGAGCTCGTTTTTATTAACAGAGAGCTCCTGTGTGTGAGCCTGAGAGGCCTCAAGGTCGCCAGTGATGCTGGATAGCCAGTGACAGGAAAACATGTGACTAGGCCCAACATAGCCTAAGAAGGCAGGAAAGCACATGTGTGTTTTTAAGATATCCACCTATAGTCAACTGTAGTTCTTTAAATCAGTTTAGCTTTAGAGGCACATATTATTTTCTAGGGCTTCCCAGGTGGCGCTAGTGGTAAAGAACCTGCCTGCCAGTGCACAAGATGTAAAGAGTCATAGGTTCAAGCCCTGGACCGAAGGATCCCCTGGAGGAGGGCATGGCAGCCCACTCCAGTATTTTTTTTTTTCTAACTTTTTTTTTTCCATTTATTATTATTAGTTGGAGGCTAATTACTTTACAATATTGTAGTGGTTTTTCCATACATTGACATGAATCAGCCATGGATTTACATGTGTTCCCCATCCTGATCCTCCCTTCCCATCCCTTCCCTCTGGGTCATCCCAGTGCACCAGCCCCGAGCACTTGTCTCATGCATCCAACCTGGGCTGGCGATCTGTTTCACACTTGATAATATACATGTTTCAATACTATTCTCTCAGATCATCCCACCCTCGCCTTCTCCCACAGAGTCCAAAAGTCTGTTCTATACATCTGGTGTCTCTTTTTCTGTTCTGCATATAGGGTTATCATTACCATCTTTTTAAATTCCATATATATGTGTTAGTATACTATATTGGTGTTTATCTTTCTGGCTTACTTCACTCTGTATAATGGGCTCCAGTTTCATCCATCTCATTAGAACTGATTCAAATGAATTCTTTTTAATGGCTGAGTAATATGTATATGAGTATATGTACCACAGCTTCCTTATCCATTCGTCTGCTGATGGGCATTTAGGTTGCTTCCATGTCCTAGCTATTATAAAGAGTGCTGTGATGAACATTGGGGTACACATGTCTCTTTCAGATCTGGTTTCCTTGGTGTGTATGCCCAGGAGTGGGATTGCTGGGTCATATGGCAGTTCTATTTCCAGTTTTTTAAGGAATCTCCACACTGTTCTCCATAGTGGCTGTACTAGTCTGCATTCCCACCAATAGTATAAGAGGGTTCCCTTTTCTCCACACCCTCTCCAGCATTTATTGCTTGCTTGTAGACTTTTGGATAGCAGCCTTTCTGACTGGTGTGTAGTGGTGCCTCATTGTGGTTTTGATTTGCATTTCTCTGATGATGAGTGGTGTTGAACATCTTCTCATGTGTTTGTTAGCCATCTGTATTTCTTCTTTGGAGAAATGTCTGTTTAGTTCTTTGGCCCATTTTTTGATTGGAATTGAGCTGCAGGAGTTGCTTGTATATTTTTGAGATTAATTCTTTGTCTGTTTCTTTGTTTGCTATTATTTTCTCCCATTCTGAAGGCTGTCTTTTCACCTTGCATATTATAGTTTCCTTTGTTGTGCAAAAGCTTTTAAGTTTCACTGGGTCCCATTTGTTTATTGTTGCTTTTATTTCCAATCTTCTGGGAGGTGGGTCGTAGAGGATCTTGCTGTGATTTATGTCGGAGAGTGTTTCCCTATGTTTGCCTATGTTTTCCTCTAGGAGTTTTAGAGTTTCTGGTCTTACATTTAGATCTTTAATCCATTTAGAGTTTATTTTTGTGTATGGTGTTAGAAAGTGTTCTAGTTTCATTCTTTTACAAGTGGTTGACCAGTTTTCCCAGCACCACTTGTTAAAGAGGTTGTCTTTTTTCCATTGTATTTTCTTGCCTCCTTTGTCAAAGATTAGGTGTCCATAGGTGCATGAATTTATCTCTGGGCTTTCCATTTTGTTCCATTGATCTATATTTCTGTCTTTGTGCCAGTACCATACTGTCTTGATGACTGTGGCTTTGTAGTATAGCCTGAAGTCAGGCAGGTTGATTCCTCCAGTTCCATTCTTCTTTCTTAAGATTGCTTTGGCTATTTGAAGTTTTTTGTATTTCCATACAAATTGTGAAATTATTTGTTCTCGTTCTGTCCACTCCAGTATTCTTGCCTAGAGAATCCCATAGACAGAGGAGCCTGGCGGGGCTATAGTCCATGGGGTCACAGAGTCAGACATGACTGAAGTGACTTAGAATGCATTATTTTCTAAGAATAGCTAGCTCCATTTCAGTTCTCTCTTTCTGGTTTTGTGAAGAATCCCTTGAGCATATGAAATTACTTCAGCCCAGCTGGACAGCTGCCTCCTGAAACCATTAGAATCCACAGACTCCCCCTGGAGGGCCTGACAGCCTGCCATTGGTTGGCTGTAGTTAGGCAGGTGTTCATGCTCACCAGGCAGTTACTACTTCTCTAGTTGGTGATGCCACTGGCTATCCTGGTACAATTAGAGTGAAGGCACCCCTCTGGTTCACTGCAGCTCCCCACCCACCCCCACCCCCGCCAGCATGCACTGCTACAAGTAGGACATGAGCTGGAGGTCACACAGGGTGTGACCCTTAGAGTTATATGTGACAGCCCTGATTCAGGGAGGGAAAAAAAAAAATCACAGCAAGTACATCCTGCTTGTAGCAGTCCTAGAACTGGCCTGAGCCCAGAGCTGGCCCTGGCATTTCCAGGACAACCCCAGCTAAGTAATGGGCTCCATTCACGTCTCACACGCCCTCCCCTTGCAGAGATGGACCAAGTCTGTGACCCTCTTTGACCTTTTGGTGACCTTCAGTCACATCACACCACACAGCAGTCCCAAATCATAGAAACTGTGATCAGACCCCTACTTGCCATGAAACTGAACGCAGTCAACTCACCCTGAAAATGTGGGGTCATGGCGTTCCTGGTTGAGAAGACCATCAGCCTGTAAGAAAACTCGGTCTCCTCTTGCCACGACGTCTTCCAAGCCCTTTGAGACAAGTTCTGTTGAGCCTCCTGAGACTTGAGAGAAGAAAACAGAATCCAGGTGTAGCTTTGCAATATTTTAGTCAGTTTCACTATACATTTTAAAACAATAATCTGATTGTTAGATGAAATTTACAATTTATACTTGAGTCAATTTTAAAGATGCTTCAGTTATCTTAAAGAGGAAAATAACTATTTTCACATGTTTTCTAACTTTGCAAAGGCTGGCAAGTTCAAGTGACAGAATCAACACTGCACCAGGAATAATATGTAATTTTTATATTTAAAATGTGAGGCACAAACTTGTATTTCTCTGAGAATGCAGCTGAGCATATGATAAATTTCCCTTAAAGATGCAAGTACTGACGTAACTTTAGAACTCTCTTCTCACATGGTCAGATTAGCTCAGTGGGGGTCCATACCTGTTGCCCGTGGTGTGAGCAGAGCCTCCTCCACGGGTTTGGGGCCCGCAGGTCACTGCAGAGGCTGCTCGTCCACTCCCGAATGTTGTCGGAACCATGCCGTTTTCAAAGGAGGGGAGAAGGAAGCAGCATCGTTTGTAGAATTTAAGTGAAATTCTGAGTTTTTTCCTCTTCCTTTCAGAATGTTATTCCCTGAAGCTCGGCGGTTAGAAAGCACGGGAAAACTGTTAGAGTTGGCAGATGTGGACCCGACTCTCCGACCTACCCAACTCACTGTCTCACATTTTAAGAGCCTCTGTGATGTGTACCGAAAAATGTGTGATGAAGACCCACACCTCTTTGCTTACAATTTCAGAGAAGAACTCAGGCAAAAGTCAGAAAAAAGGGGATGACAAGGAGAGTTGCAGACTGTAGCTGCTACTTCAGGGGCTGCCAGCCTGCCAGGTGTTGAACTTCTCATGTGTGCTCACGGCTGTGACTTACTCCCCTTTTACAGCTTGGTAAAGAGAATAAATATCATCAAGTAAGATACAGTACAAGCTTTCTTTTAATATACATATATATATACTGCATAGATGTGACATGTTTAGTATAAACAGCATCTATTACAACCTTACAAAAATGAAGTATCTGCACATTGTACCCCAACCCACATTAGAATAATTTAAATATGCTTTAAATAAAGTGAAACCTAATAGCTGAAAGAAAATAATCAGAGGATTGGAGAAAAAATGACCTTTTAAAAGCTATTAATCACAACTTCCCCACCTTTTTCTACATAAATTAGAATGCATTCGTCTTAAGGATTCTAAATCATTTTGATACCTGCTCAAAAGGGATATAAACTAAGTAATTTACAAATTCTGACCAGTTTAAGCTAGTTTTCTGATCCACAATAAATTAGAATAACTTAAGTCTTTACAACTATTTGTGGGAAAATGTATCCTGCACAAAACCTAATAATGAATAGTGTTTCTGCGATTTTCATTTTGCCACCAGTTTAGAAGTGAGACCAGCACTGTAACCCTATCTGGATTGGGCCGGGCTAGGACTTTCCGTGGCTCTCTGTTTCATAGAAGCACTCTTCGCTGACAACCGACGTTAAGCTCTGGACACTGAATTCTCGCTCGAGGACAGAGCTGAGATCAAGGTTGGCGTTTCCAGGATGACTGTCCAGGGACTGGTGACGCGTCTGCGCCTTCAGCAGGGTGCCCCTGTCCCGCTTGGTGCTGTTGGCCTTGCGTTTGATGGCACAGAAGTGCCCCCGCACCAGCTTGGGCTGCCCACCCTTGCCGGGCGGCTCTTCAGCTGGGTGAGCATCGGGGTCCTCGGAGATCCTCAGTCTCTGGAACTGGATCTCGATGTCTTTGGTGGGGCTGCCCTGCCTCCGAGCCTGGGGGTAGTCGTCCTCATCGTCGCTCAGAATGTCGCTCTCCTTGATGAGACTGTCAGGGAAGTCGGCCAGGCCCGCGTGGGGGTGCTGCTGGGTGTCTTGCCTGCTCCCGGCAGGGGGGCAGCCGCTGCTCTGGGTGCCGCTGCTCAGGCTGCCCTCGTCCGAGTCCAGGGAGCTGCCCTTGCCCGGCTCCCCCGGCCACTCGCTGCTGGAGGAATTCTTAAGGACTTTCAAGGACCTGGATGAAGCTGCAACGAGAAGAGCACACATTCCCTTATGAGAGAAGAACAGATTCCGCAAGGTGTAATGTTGGCCTTGGAGGTTATGAGAGTGAACATGTTAAAATTTTTTCATCTCACTTCAATTACCAGCTATCCTGGGACTTGAGCAAGGAAAAAAAAATGTAGATACTACAAATATGCAGTTGAAATTTTAAGTTGGGGAATTTGGCATTTTTGGGTGATAGTTATCAGAACTTAATTAATGAGATAGATCAATAAGCTATAAACTGTCATAAGGGCTTGGATTATTTTGCTAATGAATAAATTTAAAAGTTAGTTGCTGATAAAATCTAGGTTCCTTTCTTTTACTAAAGTACTTTGTACTTTCAGAACTAGGATTACATGGTATTTCTCTGCCTACCTTCTCACCTGTTAATTTCCCTGGCTGCTCAGGTAAAGATTGGAAAATGCTCTTTCTCTCATGAGAACATTTGTTGGATTTCTTACCAGCTTTGAGATTTAACATGAATATTGAGTTGTGTACACATGTGTTTAACTCCTTTCTCTTGGGTTGAAGGGGAAAAGGGGGAGTTCAGTTGTGTTTCTGCAGACAATACTATATTTTTGATGGCGGTAGCTTATTTTGCCAGTGGAGGAAAAAATAGAAAATATATAGTAAATCTGAAGAGGTCAAACTACCAAAAATAAGACATTTTGCAAGACTAAAAACTAGATCGATGATATGTTAACAAAATAGTTATATAGAAAGCTTAAGAGCAGCAGGATTTGGAATGTTTACCTATAGAGTGGGCTTACTAAGAGTGGGCATATTAGGTTTTTTGACCTTTTTCACTTAGTATGGATATTCTCTAGAGGCTTTGCACTGTGGCAAGCACTGGAAACGTGGCAATGAGCAGAACCAAGTCCCTGACTCCCATACCTCTCAGTGGAAGAGAAAAGATGGTAAGCGTAGACTGTGTCAGCCAGTGGCGACAAGGATTTGGGGTTGGGGGTGGTTATACTTTATAAAAGAAGGTCTGGTGGGGAGAGGCATTCTTTAGGTTTTTTAAAAAATAGAATGGCAGTGACCACCTCATTCCATCCTGTGTGTTGGGGTCTCTGTTTACAGCTTAGCTACTGCAGATCATTTACAAAGTGATGACCAGCTACCCTGTTGTACATGCTTGCAGAGAAAAGCTCGTCATGTTTTCCTGAGTAAACCCAAGGCTAGACGAGTTCTCACCTAATTTGGCTGAGACAGGAACGCGGTTCTTAAGGGGTACCAGGCGATCCTTACATGCTTTCTCCAGGGGTAATTCACACTTTATGTGACGCCTGAAGTTTTCCCTCAGAATAGATCGAATCACCTTGACGATGTTGGTTTTGCTTTCATTGTCACTGGGGGGAGAGAGAAAACACTGGTTGTTTCTGCTGTCTCACCCAGCTCCCATTCCTTGTCTCCTGCCCTCCCGTGGTACATGAGGACAGACGGACAGCAAGCTGCCCAGCAAGTATGCCACGGTCTCTCGTCACTTAGAACAGAAGTGAGAACTGATTGTTCTTGAACTTCCTGCAGGCACTAAGATTTGGATGTATATTTAATCAATGTATTATTCTACTAGAGCTGCAGTTGCCAGTTTGCAGAGGGTGGGTGTGATCCTAAAGTCATCAAAATTCAAGAGGGCGCCAAAAATAAACCCATCTTTAAGAGAACATAATTCTGTCTTATTCCCATTGGCTTTCATTTTTGGAAGGCAGTGATACCTGCAGCACAACTGAAAGATGGTCTCTGGCCGTCCTTCTATTTCTGACTTGGTGTGGATCAGCTCCCATAAGGAATTATTTTCTGTCCCTGTGTAAAAAGAAACCAGGGGCTACAACTCTGCAAAAGATGCTATGATAACATTTGTGAAACTTGAAACCCACAATCTAGTAACTTTTTTTAAAGAGTTCAGTATTCCCAATCCTGACTCTCATCATTTTCTTCTGAGGCTCAATTCTGTGTATGACTTCCACAGTAGTTACAAAAAGTTAAATACATTTTAGTTACTTTGTGTACATTTCCTGCTGACATTTCCCATTCATCTTGGTGCTTTTGCCTTACCTCCGGATCTCATCTGTGGGAAAGAGGTAAGTGGACCACCTTTGCCAACCTCCTTCCTTGGAAGGAACCACAGGATGTGCTCAGGCACTTTAGGTGAAGGCAGCCAGCAGCACACCAAGTCATGGTCCAGGAAACGTGAGCACTTCCGACAAAAACTGAACAGGGACCCAGGCCGTCACTGCAGGCCTCAGCCTGTTGGTCTTTTCCATCACCAGAGGCACTGTCACCAGAACGGGGTTATTCTAGAAGGATCTCTGAACATTTTGCATGGGAGATTTTTTTCTGTATCACTTGTAACACTGCTTAATCTTAAGGAATTTTCTGGTATTGCAAATTTTGTAAAAATTTGTGAACCTGTGTTTCTTTAACAAATTTTAGGGATTGATATTACCCTAAAATTATTAGAATAACTAGAAATGTTAGATAGTAGGATATTAGGGAAATGTTGAAAACCGTAAACAGTGAAAATAAGGAAACAATGAAGAGAAGTATTTGGTAAAGAAAAGCCAGCCTCTAGCATTTACTTTCTCCAAATCCTGTAAAGAAACATCACAACAATCTCTCATCCTCATTTTCCTTGCCTGTAAAATACCAGAAATTATCCCCCGGTTCTTTCCTCCTACTTTTTCATTCCATAGTTTGAAAATTCCCTGAAGTTTTTTTTCTGGCACTTGCACAATACACAACAATTACCTGCTGTATTTCCCAGTCTGACTTGAAGCGCAGATATGGGGATCAGCCAGCGAAACTTAAACGGATCCAGGTCAGCATTGCTGTGTGCAGGCCGGGAATTGGAGGGCTGTAAGGTGAAAGCCCCACAAGGGCAGGGTTAGAGCAAGCTGGCTCCCGGGGCACGTGTGCGCATGACAGGAACTGGGCGCTCTCCCTGGCACAGACCCGCTGCTGTGTGGGGCTCGGGGTGCAGAATGGGATCGGGTCAGGTGAGCCCCAGCTCTGAGGAAGCTCTCACACGGGCTGCGGCCAGGGCAGAGTTGTGGCTTGAGCAGAAGTTCTAGGTTTCTAAGCAATAATGACAAGGAAGCCTTCTGTGACCTCATGTTACCACCTCTAAAAAGAAACCAAAATTACACAGACTGACTTGTATGGAGCAAACATAGGTCATTTTTAGGGACAGAAAATCTGCTTTTCTAGCTAGGCCCCAGCATGGGTTACTTGTGTACATCTTTTCAAACAGACATCTTTCATGGGGAGAATACATACTCCAAGTATCTGATTTGCTCAGTTACCCCAGGAATAAGCCACATCTGTCGGCCAGGCCTTGGTCCTTAGCAGGCTTCCCAGTTCAGTAACAGGAAGATACAGTCCAAAAAGTTAGCTTTAATCAAAGTTAATTCATGTCTTACCAATTTCTTTTTCAGTTTGCAGTTTTCTTTATAAACCAATATGACAGCTCTCTTAAAAACTAAAGAAAGAGAAGAGAAAGAAAAGTCATCATTTAATACAAACGCCCCTAACATTGAACTCAGCTGAATATTTTAATAGAACAAAGCTCTTCAAGAGTCCACAACGCTGACACACGGGTGGATAATTAGCACTTCCTTCTGTTCATATTTGAATCATGCACAAGTACTTGCTTATTTAAAAGCTATTGTCTGAAGGAGATCCTGGCATTTTGTTTTTTGAATTCTTATTTTATCAGAAGCTGAGGACATGGGGCTCATCTCAATGAGAACACAGTCTATGCTCACTCTCCCAGCTCTTGGTGGGAATTAAGACATTTTGAAGTACAGCAAACTAAGATGGCAGATTTCAAAAACAGACCCAGCAGCTCTGTTCCTTTAACACTTGGCCAGATCCGCCAAGCCAAGCAGCAGAAGGGAGAAGAAGGTCATGTGTGTACAGGGCAAAGCTTCTAAAGAGCTGGAAGCTGCCCATGTTAAGTCAAAGCCATTAGTGCAGCGATTCTAAATCCTTCTGGAAATCAGGAGTTTGCAGATTTAGGAGGTTCTTCATTCCTGCCAGCCTCTCAAGTTTACATTCTTATGAATGGAATACTAACCAAATACTGTGAGTTCAAGGTCCTTTCTGGCTTTTCCTAGAGACAGAAATGGATTCAGCCAGGACACTGTAGAGTGCATCAGAAGCTCCCCCATTGAAAGTTCTGTGACCTAAATGGTAAAAAAGAGATCAAGATATGGAAATCCGGGGGCGGCGGTAGGGGGTGACTCAGGAGAGAGAGGGATCACACATATACGGTCATGGCTTAAAGTCAAGTGTGTTCCATTGTTATGGTTCCCATGAACACAGGGCTTTAAATAGCAGCAGGCTTGAAAATATGAGCTAAGCACCACACTGAAAAATAGAGGTGAAGGCATCTTGCTCCAAGGCACACATTGTATGTGACCTGTGGGATGACATTCCTCCCACCCCAGGGTCAAGGTTCATCCCAAATGCCTTTGTTAACGTTTCATCCAGGACCTAGTACACTCACCACCCCTAATCCTGAAACCACATGAGGCCTTCTAATAAGAGGTACCAACATTGAAACTGACTATAATTAAAAAAAAAAAAAATTCCAGCTGTTTCCTATTCTTGCCTTTTTCTACTTAAACTACATTGCTCCTTATGTGTAGACTTTTTAAAGTTCAAGATGCTAAATTTGGTAATCCAGCCAGAGAAGAAAAGTAGGGAAATTGTCAAATTCCACTTAAACTGCTTTTATAAGTAAGGAGGTAGCCACCAATACTTGAGGTTAGAAAAGGAAAAAAAAAAGGAACGGCCTTCAGTTCTCTTTCCACATGCTGACTCCCACTGCCTTTATCCCGCCCCTCCCCTCCTACATCCCAGCTCTCCATTTATATTCTAGCCTCTGGGATTTGTCTTGACCTCACGCTTCACAGGAAGAGGAGGAAGAGGCACAGATATGAGCTAAGTACTACCACTTCTGGTAAGGTATTTATTAACAGAACAGATGGTTACGTCTTTAGACCAATGCAGTCAATTTTATGTTACATTTACACCTAAACCGTGTGGCTTATTATAAGCTTTAGGATCAAAAAGAAAATTTTAAACAATTTCTCCTGCAGGAAGGCGCCCTAACTAGGTGGCCTGGTCTGGAGGTGACCTCCAGACCCACGGTCACAGGCTTTCAGCCCCTCGGAATCCAAAAATCCTACTGACCTCCTTCTCTGTTCCACTCTGCTCTGCTACAAGCTGGTCAAACACGGTCCCGTAATCTTCATATATCTTCTGCATCTCATTGATGTGGCTGGCTACTTTTTCCATTGCCTTTAGTGCTTCTGCAAAATACGCAGTCATAATTTGTTTTACAACTTTGGTTTGTTCGAAATCCCACTCAACAGCAATGATGAAAAACCTTAAGGTTCAAGCCAGAATTTGAGACCAGTTCTTAACTAACAGCAGCATCATTCAGGTAAGGCTTGAATAGCCCATGATAACCTAGTTATAAAGAAGAACAGCTAAATTATCTTCCACCTCAAATCCTCCTTGGAATGAGGCAGAGTATAAGTAAAAAAATCACTAACAGTAACAGCTCCCATGTATTGAGCACCTTCTATCTGGGATATTCTCCTAGGTGATTTACATGAGGCATCTCCTTTAATCCCCACAGCAATGCAATCAGAATAGGACCTATTATTGATGCCATTTTATAGATGAGAAAATTCAGGTTCAAAGCGGGTGGCAGGGGGGCGGTTGCCAGACATAAGGAGGAGCTAGAATTCAAACCCAAGGCCGATTGGCCATAGGATACCTGCTCTTAAATTTTGCCCTCCTCCTGGACCACTTAACTGGAATAGTGATCAATGACAGTTCTTTAATAAGAACTTACAAGAGCCTCTAAATAGCCCCTTTCCAGAGCAACTGTTTGCATTTATGTTTGGTGTTAATTTGAACTTTCTACATGGGCATGTGAGGGACAAAATGAGTTTTGTCAAGGTCAAAAAGCAAAATTTCAAGTCACCTCCAAACTCACTATTTTTCATATCTTGTTCTTCTGATTCAGGATTTTAATTCCATCTTTAGAGGAGGGACTTTCAGAAGGCAGTTTTTTTAAGAGACCCCTTTTAAAGATCATCTCAATGCAAAGTGAACTATTCACACAGCAATTGAATCCTAATCATAATTTGTATCATTTATGTGTAAGTTTTAACTTTCATACCAGAAAATTTATCCCTATTACTTAAAATATGCTTGTCACAGAAAAACTGTTTCATTTACACTTTGCACTGTTTGCTATTCAGTAATACTAATATTTATTAGTAAGTTTGTTTCCCTCTCCATGTGCTTATTATGTGCAGCTTAACTGGATCTCCTAGTTCTAACACATGGAGAACAAATCCCTCTTACTGTCCAAACAGCATCTCTTTAAGGGACACTCATTGCTGTTCAGTCACTAAGTCGTATCGGACTTTGAAACCCCGTGGACTGCAGCACACTAGGCTTCCCTGTCCTTCACTGTCTCCTGCAGTTTGCTCAAGCTCATGTCTGTTGAGTCGATGATGCCATCTAAACCATCTCATCCTCTGTCGCCCCCTTCTCCTCCTGCCTTCAGTCTTTCCCAGCATCAGGGTCTTTTCCAATGAGTCAGCGCTTTGCATCAGGTGGTCAAAGAATTGGAGCTTCAGCTTCAGCATCAGTCCTTCCACTCTAATTACTATCAAAGTGAGGGGCCTTGTGTATTTGACAAACTTGGGCTGATAATTTCTGAGGTTATGAAGAAGACACGTCGGCATCACTGTAAAGCTTCATCTGTCCTGGGAGTTCAGTCTCTGCTTGCAGCTCTCCACAAGGTGGAGCCTCACACAGCAGAATGGATCAGCAAACAACACAGAACCTCAGAGTTGTGGGGAAACAGGCCTGGGCTTCTCGGGTCCTGGCAGCACTGTTTGTTAAGACACATGACCTGAAACAATTTATTTCAACTCCCTGAGCTTAAATTACGTTCTTTGAAAAATGAAAATGGAATGTCCCTCCAGAGGGCTATGCCAGTGAGAAAACTTTTTGCCCAAATGCTGTGCCCATCTACAGGGGTGGCCATAATACCTAGCCATTTGCAGACACTAAATGGTATCTAAGGGTGAACAATCACAATGCGGAGAAACGCTCGGAATGAGAAACCAAGCGGAGGAAGAGAGGAGCTCGCAGGCCTGGGGGTGGCCGTCAGGTCACCCCCGGGGGCCCCCCGCTTCTTACCCGTCAGGTGATAGTGCTCCTCGCTCTCGTGGTCCGTCAGCGACACCAGCTCCTTGAGCAGCAGCGGGTACTTGAGCACCCTCTGAACTGGCTTGATGAGGTAAGACTCCAGCGTGGAGGAGTGCTGCTTGGTGGGGTTCCGGGCGTCCAGAAAAGCCTTAAAGGCCTTATCAGTTTTAGCTGCAAGCAGATGGATTAAAAGACCCTTAGAAGAGCACAGCAGGATGATGTAAATTCTACTTCCTTAAGGTTTTAATGGAATTACAGATGATCTGCTGCGACAGTCCTCCTGATGACATCCTTCCAGGAAAAAACCAGCTGCACCAGTGGGTCACGCACCCCCTGTCAACAAGGATTCAGCGTCACTGCTCGGGGACGAATCCCACAAAGGGTGCTTACTCGGCTGCCAGAAGGGCCCCAGCCACGGACCAAAGAAGAACATGGAGTCAAAATGCAGCGGTATCTGGCTTTAAAGGCACGTTCACCTGCAGACCCTCGAGAGAGATTGAAACTCACTTTTTCAGCATCTATACCAAACAATTCATAAAGCCACAAAACTACTATCCAAACCTACACCATACCCCTCACAAGATTCATAGAGCAAAACAAACCAGTAATTTTTTTTCCCACTGACCAGGACAGATTGCTAATTATTCTATACACTTAAGGGCTGTTTTTAAAGCAAGATCTTTTTTTTTTCTTTTCCTTTAAAAATAAGTTGACAAGCACTGCAGTTTCCATCTCCACAGCTGCAAGCAGTCTAAACCTTCCACCAGATTCAGACCCCACTGGGTAGTGAAAACCACCCCTCTCTGTGGTGTCATGAAGGTATTACACTCGTGAATCCAAGTGCATTTAATGTTTTCAGAGTGCTTGTGGACACCTCAGCTGTTGCTTTGGATTCCACATGCTGGCACTGGTTCACCAGCCACTGGAATTCAGCCAATTTGAATGAAGACAAACCTTTATTTGGGGTTTTATACAAAAGGCAAAATACAACTTGTAGGAGGTGCAGTACCATTTTGAATGTGGCTACCAGACAGCATGGATGGGGAGATGACCTTTCATCTCTGTGACAAAGAAGGAACTGAGTAAATCATCAGTATGCTTTTAGTTTATTATACTCTCAAGAAGTTATTCCTCAGAGGAAATTCGTTCTTTCTGGTTTAAACAACTAGAGAAGATAGATTTGGGCTGGGTCTTGTTAACCAACCTGTAACACTTCATTTAGAGGGTAGCACTCTTAAGACTTCATTTTTCAACTTGAGCCTACTCTAAGATGCTATGAGGTTCTGGATTTAAACTGAAGGGCAGAACTGCATCAGTGCACGTGACTGAACACTGTCAGTGTCTGAAGGAACCCTCCACACCTTCATGATATCACAGAGAGATCATTCCCTAGTTCTGAGATAGACGCATGGAAGCACAAACTCCAGATTCTTCACGGCAATACCAGGAAGCATTTGATGAGACAGAGAAGGGGCTTGAAACGCAGCTTGGCTGCTACTAACCTGTTGCCACAACTAAAAATGTTCCAGTACAAAAGCCTTTCAAACACGTGCCACTGTCATGGAAAACAGCCCTGATTCACTGGCTTCTAGACAGGTGGCAAATCTTCACAAGAGTAAGTACACGAGGCCAATCTTAACTCCAAAGGGGGCATTCACCTCTCGGGGGAATGATTTCTTTCTCCTGGGAATTTCATATTAAGAGTTCAAGATTCAGTGGGTTCAGATCCTATTTGCAAGTACACTTGAGAGAATGCAGGTAGCCTAGTGACCTTTCCTGGAGACAGTTCAGATGGCCTTAACTAGGATGACATATGTTTTCATAAGATGCCTCCCACTATAGGACCCGCACAGAACAGGAGCCACCCCTGGGGACCGGAATCTGTTTGACAGTCTCCATGCAGACTGAATTACTGCTGCTCATGACCTTGAGCTTAAAGGTGTCCTCTCATCTCTGCCACCAGAAATGAGAATTCTGAAGAACAGGATTAAAAACCTACCTTCTGAGGGAGACAAATTTGAGAATTCTAATCCCATGCCTAACAAGATGTGTGATGACTGAAAGAAGCTTTTGGTAATAACATAACCTCATTTAAGCATTTCTGGTTCAGGACATAATAAAAGAAATGTTTATGTACTGAGGTCTGGGGAAGTCATCCTGACTTATATTTGAGTTAACTTGAATTTTATGCTAATGAAAACAGCCTGTTTGTCAACTACCAAACAGACATTGTACCTCTTCTTTAATTCTTAAAGGGTGCACTGACCAGAAGTAAAGATTATCTGTGTTAAAAATAAAGATTAAATGCCTCCCATCCTGGGACACCAATGTTGGTTGTCCTTCCATGATAAAACCCCCTTCCGAGGTGCCAAGGCCATCCTGACTGGCTGTGTACATGCCGATCTGGTGTTCTTGAAACCCTGAGGAATGTATTCCTGCCTTATTTGATATTCTTTGTTCTGACAAGACAGGAAACTGCTGACAGCCCTGCTTCTCTGGAGCAAATCCTGAGAGTAATCAGAGAAGCTGTCTTCTGGGCTAGGGTCCTTGTGCTCCATCGTGTCCGGCTGTTTGCCACCCTACTCAGTTTGGCTCAAATAAAAGTTTCTCCTATTCCTGTCATTCTCTGTTTATTGATTATTTTCATCAACAGGTATTACAGAATAGCTTCGACCTAGGGTTGTTGACATGCTGATGGTGACTGTCACACAAACACTCCCTCCAGTATCCTACACGTGAAGAAGGTCACTGCGGCCATCAAATCTCTGGGCGTACTTCCCAGGCTGAGTTGACTGGCTGGCTGGTCACTGAAAACCCAGGAGGATCAGTGCGCTGACCGCCTGGCCCAAGCTGACCCACTGCAAGTCAGGGGCCACAATTCGGGCATCTCTCCAGCTCCACAGAGTAATGTTTGCTGTTGACATGAAGCGGAAGAGCGAGACGGGTTTGCTACCCCTTTCTACTTGGGATTTCAAAAATGTAAAAGTCTTCGGTTAAAGTCAATCAAATAAAATAAGAGGATAACAACACAGAGAGATCAAAGGTACTTTAGTGACAAGCTAGGGGCTGCGATAAAAACCAGCTTCACTAAAGAGGTTTTCATTTTAGTTAACACACATCCTGTGAGTCTGGTAGGAGCTACCTGGTGGTGGTGTTTTTGCAGTGGATCCTCAGGTTTAAGAAAAATGTTAACAAGAAAGAAAACAGCATACATTGCTTTCTACTCCCTCCAGGAGCTTATATTTCTGGTTGAAAGTTTTTAGAGCAAGGAAAAAAGAATTGGTGAAAAGAGAATCCAGCTGTAATTTAAGAGCAAAGTGATAGCTGAGTGACATCTCAGCTCTCAGGCACACACATTCACTGTTACCAGAAAACTGCAAGAAGTTTGGAACCTCCCGCTTTAATGTTTGCTCATTTCAAGGCCAACAATGGAGCCCAACCCATTAAAATCACGCTTATGCTTAATGAACACAGATTTACTCTAACAATTTAGAAAGTATAGCTATAAAGCGTGAGCCACTTACCTCGCTCTAGAACCTTCTGTACTTTAATATGATTAGCACAGAATCCGCTGTACAGTTTAAAGTGGTCCGCATAATAAAGGAAAGAGCCTCCGAGGGAAAACAGCAGTTTCTAGAAAGAGAGGGAAAGTTACATCAGACATGGTTCATTCGACGTCTGCTGGCTCTGGCCTGGCATCTGACTACTTTGCTGTCTCCACGGTCTTCGTCTTTCAGACACCAGGGCCCTAGTGCTTCAGGAAGGCATAGACTGAAGCCAGGGAGTGCCATTTGCCCAGCTGATGAGAGTGTACAGCCCAGGCATGCCTCTAGCAGATCTTCAGTCTGACTGAAAAGTTTCTGGGAGCAGAGCCTTTTGACGCAGTGTGCGGTCAAGAACAAGAAAGAAAGTTCTATCTAAAAAAATACATCCGACATGGCAGGATATAAATAACCTGAGAGGCTCATTGATAAAGCCAGCTCTGCCTTACTTAGGACGAATGATGCTCGCCGTGTATTTCCTTAGTCACTTTCTACTGCCTTCTGCCTTTCCCTCCCTGGAACGACCTCATGAAAAAAGAAATGAAGTCGCTCCAGTCATGTCCGACTCTTTGTGACCCCATGGACTGACTGGGACTGACTGGAGCCCGCCAGGCTCCTCCATCCATGGGATTTTCCAGGCAAGAGTACTGGAGTGGGTTGCCATTTCCTCCTCCAGGAGATCTTCCCGACCCAGGGATCAAACCTGGGTCTCCTGCATCACAGGCAGACTTCACCGTCTGAGACACCAGAGAGTCCTCTTGCCAGTCACCAATGCCCACTTGGAGACAGGGCTCCATAGAAGAGGAGGCTCTCTCAGAACAAGTGAAAACCTATGCTTTCCTCCCAAGGTCACACAACCACAGAGGTGCAAAATCAGATGCAGGAGGCGCTCTTGCCTCAGAAGCAATCTCCCTACAGAGCCCTGGGCAGAGCTGAGTAGGGAGCATGGACATGTCAACAGCAGGCAGACTCCATAAAAGCTGGGCTGCCCAGACCCCTGATTCCCAGAGCATTTACCTGAGGGAGAAGTGGGGCCTTCTTTTACCTCCTGCCAGAGGAAAACCGTGCAATGACAGCACTGAACTTATCTTGTCAACAGTCGAGGAACAACGCTTTCTCTTCCAGGGGAGAACTTTGCACTGTACCCACCTATATTCGCTTTAAACTTACATCTAAAATACTTACTCTGAACTGCGAAGGGGTTTCAAGTATGTTAAAGTCAGACGATGCTGAAATCCCATCTTCCAGGGTCTCGAGAAACACCTTTTGAAATTCAAGCATCTCTGGCAAACTTCCAAAAAGTGACTCCATCTGAGTGAAGACCAGGATTTGAAAAGAGGGTGTTAACAATGAAGATCTAGACACCACTCTGAACTCCCAGATGCATAAATGAATCACAGTCATTCACCAAGAAGGAGACAGAAGTAAATCCTTTAAAAAAGACAGTATTCATGAGGGGATAGAGCTCATACACAGAGGGTTATATACATCTCTGGTCCCTGTAATTCTAGAATAAGTTTTTAAGGGGATGTCAAGTTTTCAGAATTCAAACTGAGGGGTGGGGGTGGGGGGGATGGAAGTGAGTAAGAAAGAATTAATAACTGTGAGTTAACACTAAAAAGTCACATATTAAAAGGTAATTTGGGTCACATCTTCTACTACAAAAAGGGCGCAGTCCTTCTTAACTCTTGCCACTGTGCTTCAGGGGACAGAAGCCACATAAATGGCTCTGGAGGAGGTCTCTCTGAAGATCCCTAGGTCTCTATGTTCCTTTGGGACCAACAGGTAAAATCTAGGAGGTCTACTACAGTCCCCAACCTTTTGGGGGACCAATTTCATGGGAGACCATTTTTGCACAGCCAGGGGTAGAAGGGAGGGGATGGTTCTGGGATGATTCTCATAAGGAGTGAACATCCTCAGTCTCTCCCATGCGCAGTTCACAGTAGGGGTCTCACGTCTATGAGAATCTAATGCCGCCACTGATCCTTCAGGAGGCTGAGCTTGGGCAGTGATGCAAGTGATGGGAAGTGGCTGTCAATACAGATGAAAATTCACTCGCTCACCTGCTGCTCACCTTCTGCTGTGTGGCCCAGTTCCTAACAGGCCGTGGACGGGGACCAGTCTGTGGCCCAGGAGTTAGGTGACCCCTGCACTAAAGGGCAAGCAGAGACTAACCTGTGGGTCAGTGGACTGGGGAGGGAAGTATTTACCTCATCTTGGGTAAGAAAGGTCTCACTCTGAAGTGGCTCCAAATATAAGTCGAAGAGGCAGCTCAGATCCTGAAAGACAAAAGACGACAGTCTTTAACCCGTGAGTCTCCAAAACTCCCAAGCATTGCTCTGGCCGCATCTTAGACTGGCATTAAGAACAATGACGCTTATGTCTGATTGAGACACTTGGCCCTGAAGGTGGTGGTTCCTCGCTCACCTAATTCAAAGAGGTTAAGAGCACAATACAAATCAGCATCTGCATTCCACATTTCTCTTTATGGCTCAATCACCTACTCTGCGTATTTGACTATCTTACTGGCAGAGCCAGGATCTTTCAGCTGCTGCAGCAGGAACACGCCTTTCCCTGCAGAGAAGTGAGATTTGGCCAGGAATTTCTGTCAGGCATGGCCACATCTGCCGGCCAACCTGGCTTCCTCCTCTGCCTCAGGGAGCCGGGCGACGGCTGCAGCCTGGACAGCTGAGCTGAGGGGGACAGGACGAGGTCTGGGGAGCTCTTCAGCTTCAGGGCTGATGCATTAGCAGAATTTCAAACTCCCACACTCAAGCACAAGAAAAATTTTCCAGAGATGAACATCATGATATTTACAATCTAGGCCATCTTTGTGTCTTCACCAAACCTGGGATCCAACAGCACAGAATAGTGAGAGTTGATGTATTTACAAAACTCTTTAGATAAGTTTTGTTTTGTTTTTAATAATTTGAAGCCAAGACCAGCATATAATTTAGTGATAGGAAAGATTTCTTTTTCTTGTTCACTGATTCTGAAGAATTTTGAGTCGCAGAGTATTAGAAGTAGGTGACTACATCTGACTCCTCTTAAAATCGAGAAATCCAGTTCTGGAGAGCTTGCTAGAGCTTGCTAAGGTTAGAAGCCTCCAGAACCTTGTGGTGCAGGTCCTGGGAGCACGTGGACAGGCTCGTGACCCTGAGGGTTTCACAATCAAATGGCTCTGGTCTAACCAACCTCCCAGGACCCCACATCGGCTGCTTCAGAGCAGAGAGAGGTGGGAAGTTCCTGGGCCACATCTCAGGGAACAAATGAGCCTGCAAACTCCAAGTCAAGTGCAGAGGTCCAGGTTGCAGAACAAGTAGAAGTCCGTGTTCAATGTCAGCAACAAAACGAAATTAAAAAGTAATGTGTGTGTGCGCATGTGTGTGCGTTCACACGCACGAATCACAGTAGGTACCAGATGCTGGTTATTTCATCAGAGGCGGTGGTGGGCTGTGGCCACTCCTGCCCACGAGCTGACACGCTGAGGCCGGCCGCCCTGAGCTGTGACACGGGGGCCCTGAGGAGACGACAGGCAGGATTCTCGCAGAAAGAAAGGAGAGCCGCCCTTTTTATCCACTTGGCCCACAGCATCCGTTTTGGTCCCAGACCAGGGTCACGATGCAGCGACCCTCTTGGATCAAGTGGTCTAACAGGTAAATATACCGACAACAACAGGAATAAAAAGGAGCTTGGATTACTCTCTCAACTGTGCCCTCGACACTATGGGTGGGGGCTCCTCAGACATCATCAAGTGGCCAGCACCTGCCCTGCTGGGCACAGTCACTGTCAGCTCCCTGGACATGCACTTCATCTCCCCACCTGCGAAGCAGGATGAGTCGTGGTGGGAAAGGCCATGAAACTGCCATCTCTGCCGCTCTCCTTTGTCCCCTGCGGGACCAAAAGAATAGGCTGGGGTAGTTCTCCCAGACTGCCTCATTTTCTCCCAAAGGCCCTAGGTGAGCCTCTGGCAAAGTTCAGATAAAACGACAGTGATGTTAATAAATGGCGGAAGCTCAGATATGTCTGTGCAGAAAGGTGAGAGCATGTGTGTGCACGCTGGCACATGTGCCAAAGCCTAATTCAGGACTCAGCGTGTTAGAGCTGGGACAAGAACACCCCCTATCTCAGACCCTGTGAGGGGCTCAGAGGGGGTCGCCCAAGGCCACGCCGGCAGGTGGAGGCAAGGCCAGGCCTGGATCCTGCGCCTCTCCGCTGCCAGCAAGTAGCCGAGGAAGCAAGTTTAAAATCGTTTCAGCAAATACTTCAAGCAAAAGAACTCTGTCTTCCCAGAGGCACCTGCATTTTTTTGTAAAATGTATCCCAAACTACTAACTGGAGCCTCTGAGATAAATGAGTGATCTCCCCGGGCTGTGAAAGGCCCAGCCGCTGCTCTGTGTGGTGGCTGGGGGTGCCCAAGTGATGCCCGGTGCCTCCCCTATGGGGCTCTGTCCTTACGGTGATGCTGCGCTCTGGGGCCAGTGCCAGCGGCCGCTTGTGAACACACCGCTCCCTGGTTCCTCATCACCTAAAGGCATCTCCATCCCCCTTTCCCTAAACCGGTGCAGGCTCCCTTCCCACAGATTGCAAATGACAAACCAGAACATCTCTTTCCATAGTGAAAGCTACCTTGGTAACAAAACGAGCCGGGAGTCTAAATTCTGCAAGCCCGCTCAGCTCCTCCACCCTCTGGCCCTCCCCGGCAGCAATGTGCCACTTCAAGGGGCAGGCGTCTCCCTGGTGAGTGGCAGGGTCCTCGGCAGATACAACCAGGAGCCCCTGCCAGCACACAGCTGGCCGCCCCAGGAAGGGTGCGGGGAATCACGGCGGCATCTTCCGTACCTTCACATAGGACTTCTCTGTGTCCATGAGCTCCTGGATGACTTTGCGGAGGCGATCTGCATCAGAGAGGTGGCGAGCCAGTGGCCTCGGAGGAGGGTCCTGACCCTCCCTCGGTCCTTCCATGCCGTTGGTCTGGGTGTCGTTAAAATTCCTACACAGCGCGGTGATCTGCTCGGCACTCTGGGAGGGAACAAGAGGCACAGAACATTACCCATCATTATCAGCCGCCCAGCGCCCTCTTGGGAGTCACACGGGACATTTATCGGGGGCATCCAGCTTCGGTCATCTCAAACCCTGCTGGCTACCATTCAAGGTTCCGGTGATGAAGATACGAACTTACATTTGTTCAGTACTTACCCATGACCCTTTTCCACTTTCACAGAAGCTGTGCGACAGACACTTCTTTAGTGCTGAGACTAGAGAATAAAGCACAGAGCTACGCCTCTGCGATACACTTGGGGCTGCTCTACGAGCAAGGTCAAGGCTCTGTCAGAGCACCGTGCAGACGGACCCCTTTGGTCCACTCTCTCCCCCAGCGGCCGACCGAACGGAGCTCAGCCACCCACACAGCCCCGGGAGACCCAGGAAAGGGACAGCAGGGTCAGGAGGGCTGGACCACGGGGAGCTTGGAGTGCTCCCCCCAACCCCCCCCCAGAGTTATATAGCCTCCAGCCAAGTCCCAGTGTGAGGAGTTAAAGTGTGAGCTGCTGCCTCTGCTAGGAATGGGGGTAGAGGTCAGGTCATGTAGGAAATATAAGGTTCCCACCCTAATGGGGTACAGAGCCCACCAGAGGGGACAGGTGGGAAGCAAGTGATATAGCAAAGCCCGCTGAGGTCCACGGGAACCTTGAGCAGGTTCTCAGCAGGAAGCAGGAACGTGCCGAACCCAGGACATGGGGGAAGAAAGGCTTCTCATTCCAGGACACGGGAAGAGAATCACACAGATTAAAAGACAAGGACGAGTTGGAATGTCTGCGAGGATAACAGCCTTCCATAAAAGTTCCTGCTTGGGTTTAAGCACAGCAGGCAAAGCCTTCCTCTGGGAGAATCCATTTGTATATTCCGGCCAGAGGCTAGTGGTTTAAAGTCTCAAATGTGTCTCCTCCTATATGCCACCACCTGCCTGGAGCATCATCAGATTACACACAAAATATCTTTTTTACTTCTTTTTCTTTTCATTCCTCCAACACACAAGATCCAGTCCAACTTACCACCTGCCAGCCTGGCAACTAGTCAAGGGGAGGAGCCTGCCTTTCTTCCTCATCACCACCAAGGGTTCAGTGTTGAGTCCACCTCTGTTGGCACTGATGTTGTTACTAAGTAACAAAGCAGCTTAGTCCTAATACGCATGGTCAATATCCATCCATCCTTAAGAGCTCAACTAAAACTCTCCTTTCTGCAGCTAGATGTCTCCATGCCTGACCGCCATCACTGTCTCAGGTAAAAAGCTGAACCAGTCGGAAGCACCTCTTCATTCTCACTGAGTTCATTTTCTTTGCTTGTATATTTCAGAATGCTAACAACTCACACAAGCATTCAGGCCAATCTCAGTGGCCAGTTTGTTATAAAAACTGTCACCTGACCCACTGAAGTGGCTCAAAGTAACAGCAGGACACGTGCCCTCCCTTCTTCTCTGCTTCCCTATTCTACACCCATCTCCCCCCAAAACAGTGTCTTTATAAGATGGAAATAGACAATCAACATCGACACACAGCACTGATCTTCTGGCTAGACATTCAACTAAATCCATTGGGAACCAACCGAGGACCTGCTCTGTCTCCAGAGAAACAGAGCCCCCTGCACAAGAAGACAGAGCTTGCCAAGGTAAGAAATGCGGAAGCTCAGCCTACAGCAGACTGGAAACCAACACAAGCTTGTGTGGAACAAACGAGAAATGTGACATCCGTGAAATGAGAGAACCACATTGAAACAGGTTGTCTGGAAGGCTTCAGTGAAGAGTGGATTGTAAATGATCCTAGAAGGAGCACGCTCCAGGGGAGAACCAGAGAACAAGCCAAAGGCACAAGGAAGGACGAGCCCAGTAATGTACAGAGCCCAATGCAAGGCGGGGGTGAAAGCGAGGCCCCCTCAGACGTCGATGAGGAGAATGCCTAGACTGCTGGCCTCTTTCAAGTAATCACTTCTCTCACATTTTGACATGAATCGTGGTGCAAAAGTTAAATGAACCAAGTAGCAGACACTAAGCCTCCAACCAGACACATCGACACATCTGAAGTCCTTTACTTCTAAAACAGTTCACGCATGTGTAAGCACGAATGATTCTCCTTGGATATACACAGCACCCCCTTGTTTCTCTCCTGAACTATAACACAAGCATGTTGCTGGCAACACCTGTCAGAAGATGTTCACATTCAGGGCAGACTTTCAAAGAACAAGAAAACAGACCGGCAAAATGCTACTCATAACCCTATTTGCAGGGCAGGAATAGAGATGCAGATACCGAGAACAGGCTGGTGGGCACAGTGGGGAAAGGAGAGGGTGGGATGAACTCAGAGAGGAGCGTTTAGACACACACATTAACATACATAAAACAGATAGCTGAAGGGAAGCTGCTATATAACACAGGCAGCCCAGTCCAGTACTCTGTGATGACCTAGAAGGGTAGGATAGAGTGGAGGGTGGGAGGGAGATTCAAGAAGGAGGGGACATATATATACTTAGGGCTGATTTATGTTGTTGTATGGCAGACGCCAACACAATATTGTAAAGAAATTATCCTCCAATTCAAAATCAATTTTAAAAGAAAAAACAGACATGGATCTTAAGGCACTGATTAGAATGCAACTTGATCTCTCAAAATACCTCATACCATGTTTGAAACAAACAGGTCTCAAGCTTATTGAGGAACAACCTAACTGTTATGAAGAATAACTCCTAACTGTTCAGTCATGCCCCAGAAGCCTAATGACACAGCAAAAGCCAAACAGAGCAATGCAGCCAAAAGGCAGCTTTCAAACGGAAATGGCAACCCACTCCAGTATTCTTGCCTGGAGAATTCTATGCACAGAGGAGCCTGGCGGGCTATAAAGTCCATAGGGTAGCACAGAGTTGGACACGACTGAAGCGACTTAGCACAGCACATAAGAAATACTCATGGCTGGACCAGATGAATCCAAATATTTGGGGCCCCAGGTAGGAGTATTTTTTTAAAAGCTCCTAAAGTGGTGCTGATGTGTGACTCACATGAGAACTACCGGTCTACCCATTAGTAGAGCAAGCATTCTGCTTGCAGTTCCTGGGAGGATCATGCTGCCCCAAGGGTCTGCACTGAAGGATGGCCATGTAAAGGGTGTGTAGACCGAGCTCACGAGATAAGAGGAAATAGATCAAACCTGTGACCTTGGTGTTCTGGGTCTGGCTCCATTAACAGCTAAACAGCCCAAGATAATAATACTGAGACTCTCAAGTTCACTTATTTGAAATCTCTATACTGCTATTTGCACCACAAGCTCTGACAATACAATTTTGCAACCCTGAAAAATAACAGTTTTGGGGGCTGTAGAATCCACATTAATAGCTTGCATATACTGTATAAAATAAGATCTGAAAAAATGCACCATAAGTGAAATGGCAGCTGGTGAGATTGCAGCTTTCCCTGCTGGGATGTCGAAAATCACACCTAACAATGCAGTGTTAAAATAACGAGATTTTAAAAATAAAGTATCTTGCCATCTTAGAAAATCAGAATTCATTTAAGAATACTTCTGCTAAGTCTAAGTTGGAAAAGTGAACGTTAGCTGAGAGTTTCATAGAAAATGTACTTCTGAAGATACCACAATGAAGTGCTACAAAGTCACCTCAGATATTGTCTAGGGAAGTCATGTACGGATGTGAGTTGGACCATCAAGAAGGCTGATGCTTTCGAACTGTGGTGCTGAAGAAGACTCTTGAGAGCTCCTTGGCCAGCCAGGAGATCAAATCAGTCAATTCTAAGGGAAATCAGTCCTGAATATTCATCGGAAGGACTGATGCTGAAGCTTCAATACTTTGGTCACCTGATGAGAAGAGCTGACTCACTGGAAAAGACCCTGATGCTGGGAAAGACTGAGAGCAGGAGGAGAAGGGGACGACAGAGGATGAGATGGGTGGATGGCATCACCAACTCAATGAACATGGATTTGAGCAAACACTGGGAGATTGTGAAGGACAGGGAAGCCCAGCATGCTACAGTCCTTGGGGGTCACAAAGAGTCGGACACAATTTAGCAACTGAACAACAAAGGGAAGGCTGGGAGTATTCTCTGAGATCAAAAGGAGGCTGAGCCACTAAATGGGGAAGGATCACTATAACTGTGTTTATAGATCGTATCTGAAAGAGTCTCCCAGTTGGTTATATTTCATTTCTGCTGTTCTTAGCAACAGTTATAAAATTGAACTGTTAATAGGTAGAATTTTGAGTGAATTTGATGAGCAGTTTCTAGAAAGAGCAACTACTTTGGTTCAGATATTTTCACACGTGCAAGTGGTGATGGAGGTGGGAAGCTCAGACAAGATGGAGAGGAGTCCAGTTCTAGCCCTGGCTCTGCCCTGAGTCCTCCAAGCGTTGGAGGGCAAGACACTTCCGTCTTCAATTTCCTTGATGATGAAAGAGAAGAAGCATTACCTTGCCCATCAAGTAACCCCTCCAACTGCCAGTCGGGCCAAGGAGGAAAGGGAACTCACACTTGTTGAGCACTTGCTGTATGCAGGGGGGTGAGGGGTTCTCAAGGAACTCACAGGCATTGGGTCTTCACCATGTGATGCACTGAGACGACAGCTGAAGGGTGTTGGGTGGGGGACAGGACCTTAATGGCACAGGACCTGCATCCTCTGGAGCTGTCTGCACAGTGCTGACCACTCCCAGCGTATCAGGCAGATCATGGGCAAAACAGACTTGCTCCTCTGGTGGCCTCTGCCCACCATGCAGTCAGGGCTCTCCCAGCCCCAGGAGAATCCGAACACATCCCAGGCATGCCCAGGATGCAGCCACGGCCCTCTGGAGGTCACCTCTGCTCCCCTACATCTGCACACAACTGTGATTTCTGGTAGGTTGGTCCCTGCTCCCCTCCACCCCTAGGAATTCTGCCTCGAACGTAGAAACAGATGTTCACACATCAGGGCTGCGTGTGCATGTGGATTCAACAGCTGGACAGTGTGTGCTTGTTCAGAACAACAACAAAA